TGATTAACTGGCTGTTCTCTCTGAAACAGGGCCTCTCATTCTCTCTCTCCAACCCCCCCTCCAGTCTCTCCTTGCAGGTGACACCCACACATATCCTTCAGTGCTGGCAGAGATGCTCACTCAGATAACAACTGGAGCTCATACTGCACATTTTCATCTCTGTGTGTCATCATCACCATGTAAAACCACAACTATAGGAAAACAAAGCTGTTTACTGTTCTTCTGTCTCAACTGACATTTCCACCCAGATCTCACAACATGTTCTTTGGAGCCCACTGAAGCGTTTAAATCTGTCAACTAGATAGCTACTCCATCAGATGAAATATAAGTAGAATCTAATCTACACTAAGAAAAACTCACCTTTCTGTAATTGTTTGTCCCATGAATTCCCAGTATTCTAAAACCTCTCCCCATCATTCAGAAGGCTATTACGAGAGGGAAATGGGTTTGAAAACACTCATTCTGACTGTTGGAGCAGCCTCATTAATGACATTAGCTTGGAAATGACAAAATACTCTAGGCTCTCCGTATTTTGTCCCAAGCATTTTCAAGTGTGGAGTCCAGGGTCCACCTCCTGAACACAGAGCAGTGAAAAAATGTACTACCTTCTGCTCTGAACAATAGCCTGTGAATCTTCAACAGGAAAGCAGGTGTTACTTTGGAATACCAACTCAGAGAAAGAAGAAAGGCCCGCCCTCAGATTCCTTCCAGGAGATCCAAACTTCTGAGCACCACTGTTGAAAAGTCAAGAGATAATGCCTCAGTTTAGAGAACACAACTTGATTTAAGGAAAAACAAAGATATCACACAAAGTTGCAAGGTTCCCGCCCCATCCTACTTGCTGCTAACTATTGTAGTGGCCAGGACTGGATCCATTATGAGAGGTCAGAAGTGTCTGATTTTTCTCACTCTTCTATTATCTGTGATCCAGATGAGCTGAGAGAGGTGAAAGAATACAGCTTTGAAGGGACTGGTCTATTTTATCAGACTGAAGAAAAGAGTGACTTCGGACTGTAGGCATTACACTGTACACATTGTTATGTAACTAAGATAAGATGAGAGGTCTGTTAGGTGAAGTTTGCATCTTGCATCTATTTCATTTTGAATTTGAAGTTGAGATACTACAACCCCTTTGCAGAACTAAGTGACACTATATTTATCAGCCCAATGAAGAAGAGTTTATTGAGAAAATTCACTCAAGAGCTGATTTTTACCAATCTTGTCTTTTTCCAGTTGATTTGATTTGTCCATTGGACCTCATGAAATGAGTTGAATTCAGTCTTTCTTGGAGTTGGAGGAGACATGCAGGCTCATATTTTTCAAGTGTGTGTTCTAGCTTTATTAAGTTTAATGAGATCTATTCCAACAACAAAAAAAAGTCTTGAGATGAACTCATTGCACACCAATTTGGCTTCAGACCACTCTCAAAGTACAATTTGCACTGAGATGAATACAATTTGTTGCACAAATTATCAGACCAGCCCTTGTGTCCTTGTTCAAGGGCCTTCCCCTACCCATGGATGGTGGCAGTGTTCTCGGTGTTCATGTGTGTGTGCTGTCAAAATAAGTCTTATTTAAATTTTCAACTTGTTTTAAGGGATACAATTTTGGCTGCAAGGTTCTTTTATTTCTAAACTATTGCAAGCCATTCGAGTATTCAGTGATAGTATAGCATGACAGGTGAAGAAGCTGAAATTGTCTGTCCCCAACAGACCCATCTCTCTGTTCCTTTTGAATTGCAGTCATTTATAGAAGGCATCTGTAGAAAAGTTGCTGGAGCAAAATCACTTCATAAGACAGAGCAGCAGATCAGTAGAAGGTTGGGATTTTTACTACAAAGGCAACATTTCCAGGAGTCTTAGGCTTTACAACATGGTTTTTAAAGATTATCAATACCACTTTAAGAAGGAATGTAGGGATTTCAGTAGGAAATCAACTTACTTTTGACTGTTTCTTATTTAACATGACCTTTAAAGATCATTAGTTCTAGAGGTAATGGCTTTCCTCCCCACACAAAATGCAAATGAACTTCATCATCAGGTTTTCTTTCACCAGATTTCGTTCTGTTTATATGTTTTACCTCCACATTCCCTAATAAAATGGATATTTGTACTTATTAATAGGAAAGTTGAAAACAGAACAAGTTCTCTCCTTGAGTGTGATTAATTCAGTTAAAATGACTGGTAATTCATTCACAAAGGCATGTGAAATTCTGCCAGCCACTCAATAAATATTTATCTGGCAAGCCCGACACTGTTCTAGGCATTGGCATATGGCAATATACAAGGCAACAAAGTTCCTTTCCTCGTGAAGCTCATAGTTTGGAGAGCAAGAAAAATAAATAAGTCTAATGTAAGCAATGCCAAAATGTTATGGGGGAAGAAAAACAAGCAAAGATAGAAGAGGCACTTACTCAGAGACCTGAAGGAAATAAAGGGAACACAGGTAGTTCCCTAGGGAACAACATCCAGACAGTATCAAAGCACAGTTTTTAAACAGGTACATGGAGCTCTGTATTTATCACGAAATACAGAAATCATAGCGTATACTTGATCTTCATAAATTGGTATAGTCAGCCCAAAATAAGTGAGTTCACAGTAAAAAAAATTATACAAATACTATTAATTATACGTCTCTTACAATGATAGCAGCAAATGGCATTGTTTTCTTCATAATTATTATATCTGAAACTGTAAAAGTGTTGCTCCAACCACTGTTTTTAAACCATTTCTTGGTTCATACTAATAGTGAAAATTGACTTCCCTGTTAACAGTTCTACTTTGGTTCTGTTCAGAGTGAGTAAGAAAACTCTAAAGTGTGATTCATCTTTAGTAAATGTATTTTTCCCGTCAGAAAAAAAAAATATTTATTACCAAAGATCAGATCTTTCCATTTTTAAATTGTATTTATTTTTCCATTGCCCTTTATAAATATTCTCTAGCTCCATCATTTTCAAAGCCAGTGGGATACCGTGGATTTAAGAATGTCACATGACAAGATAAAAACATGGCAAAGTGGCACATGTATAAATCCAACAGCTGTTCACCACCCAACTATTACTTAGCTTGCCCTTCTTTGGGTTAATTAAATTTAGGGAATGGAAGCCCACTGGAAAAAAAAAATCAACCAAAATGCAATGATTTCAGGATTAAGAGTCCTGATTTTTATCCCTCCACACATTAAAAAAGAAAAAGAAAACTTCTATCTACATATATAAGGAGTAGGGCAGAATGCAAACTGAAATATTCCAAGAAACACATAAATGGTGGAAGTTAAGAGGTTATTAAATTCTATAGCACCTCATCCCTGGTTAGGGGTTTAAATTTGTGTACAATATTCTCTTCCTTCTCATGTCTTTGCCAGTTTAATTTTATGCCTAATGTATCTACCTGGCAATAATAACAATATTTAACATATGTGAGATATGGTATTAAGTGCCAGGAACAAGCAGAAAAAAGCCTTGGGTTGTGCCCTCATGGAGATTATAGTACAGTGACAGGTATTTGTGATCATTATCACCATTTTATACTTGAAGAACCACAATCTTAGAAAGGCAATGATTCGCCTGATGCCAACTAGTCATGGGACATGAATCGAGTCTATCTACCCCCAAAACCCAAACCCCTCCTTCATGTGAATAAATGAAGCAATGAATAGATTGTAAAGGCATTACTAGATTCTTTCTTCAGGGTCTCAAGTCATATTCCAGTTGACTCAAACTGGAAGCAGGAAAATATCCATGGTCATTCCAGGTTTAGACTTTGCAGGGTATCTTGAGAACTGTGCTTATGCTGTTTAGAAGACATGCTCCAAAATACTTTTCCAAGTTGTAGAGAGCAGCTCAACCCACAAGAGTCCTGGAGCTCCACACCCTGCCATACACAAAGCCCCTATAAAGTTGCTTTCCTGAGGGCTCCTTCTGCCTGCCATCTTGGAAACTTCCACTTACTGTCAGCCAGCCCCTTGGCACATGACAAGAATCAGATTGTTCCCTTTGCTTCTCCCTCCTTCAGAAGACTCCTGGTACTCGTCTCCCCCACAGCCTAATAAATGCTAACATTCCTTTTTCACAATATCATCACTTCCCCTTTGGATGCACTTTAAACAGCCATTCAGATCTTCATGCAGACAACAAAGAGATCAATTGTAAAAACCTGAAGTCTATGGGCCAGAAAAGCCTATTTGATTTGACAAAGAACCACCATAGTATTTAAATAATTTTGACATCAAATTTAAATAAATTTGACATCATTTGTTATTTCCTGACACATTCTTCCTTAGTGTGGGAGGACTTTATTCTTTTGAAATCATATTGTGAAGACTACATGAAATCCCATTACAGGGTATAAGGAAAACAAGTCAGTTTGCCTCACATTACTTTGAAGGCATTCTGTTGGTCAGAATGACTAAATGCAACCAGCATTCATCAAAGGTAATGTCTAAATCTTTCTAAACAGAAAGGTAAACATTTATAGGAATTGAGTGACTCATTTCATGAGTGAAGAACAAGTGTTTTAATATTTTTTAATGTGTACTCCTCCCCCACCACACTCTAACCTGTTCCCACCCTAAACCCCCATTTAGCCAAAGGGGATAACCCCCTAATTTTACTTCTTCATCTAAAATATCTTCCAATATTGCACTTTGCTTGACTTCAATGTGCAGGTGGATGAGAAAGGAGTGAAGCTGCAAGCAGATTTCAGCCTAACAGAATCCACTCACTTTTTGTTTTCTGCCATAACTTCTTAAGCACGTCAATAAATACATGGTAATCTTGACTTTGAGCCATGGGATATATTCTGTCACAATGCTACTATTTAACTCCACTTCAGAGCCTCACAATGACATTATTGGATCTAATCATTTAAGAGAATTGGGCACTAGTGGCCTAACAAGGGCCCGAGGCGGCCGGCTGAAGACGAGGCATGGCTTTCCTATCCAGAGCAGTGTTGAGCAGGTGAAGAGGTACCAGCCGGCTGGCATCTGGATAGGGGTCCGTGTCAGGAGCGGTAAGCTGCAAAATCACGCGTTGGGGCATAAGGCTGGTAGTGTTTGCGGGTGGGCCCCGGTCTCCGAGGAGTCATGTTCATATAGTCACTCTGAAGCATCCTGGTCCTCTTACTGTCATTCTGCAGAAAGTAGAAGTGTCAGTGAGAAAGGGACTGGGAACAAGTTAAGTAGATTTCATGGGAGGAGGTCTAAGACTTCGGAGGGAACTAAAACATGGATTTTCAGATAAAGCTGAGCACCAGAATTCACTGAGCATTTGTACTCGCACTAATAGAACCTAACAACTTTGAACCCTTCTAAATTCAGTTGAAAATTCTGAATTAAAGTGTTTTAGATAAATGCACTCATATTATTCTAGTACAGTCATTTGACCTGAATTCTAAATATGTATAATTAGCAGATGCACTGTTGATGTGTAACTATCCTTGAAGGTCCTACCTCCTTTGCAAAGATGAAGCATCCCATTGCAATCTTCTTGTATTAGTCATTGCTTAAGAAGGCATTTTTCCATAATCAATCAGAGGCTCTTTAGCTTTTGTAAGTCTGGGATAAATTCCTAGCAATGGAGTTTAAATTAAATGGGAGTTAAGGTTATAGGCAATACGTTGTATTTTTCTTTGTGTGTATGCATATTTCTGAAAAGACGGTAGCATCTTCCATCCCTGTTCCTCAGGTTAAGCTTTTATATATGAGTTTCTACCAGGGTTGAGGGCCAATACTAAACTAGAGCAAGAATTATACACACAATGATCTTAGGAAGGAGGGATTAAGAGCATGTGTTTGCCGGGGTAATTTGATGATAAAATTTGTATGTTTGATAAAAGATCCAGAAAAATTCTAAAACAGCCATCCTGATTTTAGGATTCATACATCTCTATTATGAAAACTATTTGCTGGCATGTAAGCCTGATGCACAAGTAGCCATGTTAGACATGAATGACATGAACACGTCTACTAATTAGCAAGCAGATAACTTCAGGCTTGGCCTCATTTCCATGTACTCCTTTCTGAAACCTTCACACCTCTTTGTCAAAGGGACACAAGTAAGTGTCAAGGAATTGTTGGGAAAATCACAGGCCTCCATTGTTCAATACAGCTTAAATGGTTTCAGTTCTCATCTACATGAACATTGAGCAGCATTCATTCTTGATTATTCTCTCTTTTTTTTTTTGAAAGTCTTCCACCTTACCTCCTGGGAGATGACACCTCTTCTTAACTCTCCAATCACCCCTTCCCTACCTTTTTTGAAAGCTCATCCTTCTCTAGCCGTTCAGTGTTAAAGTTTCTTAGACTCTGAGTCTTGGAGCCTAGGTCCTCCCCTCTGCACACTTCACCCTTACTTCCTATGCAATCTCATCCACAGTTACCATCTATTTGCCTAGGTTTTTGTCTCTAGAATCAATCAAGAGCCCTTTCATTCAATATGACCAAAGCAAAAGTTCTTCCCCTAAAATCTGGTCCTCTTGCAGTATTTCTCATATCTACCATAAGTATGATTACCTACACAATACCTCCTAAGACTTTAGGCTTCCCATGACACCTCTAGGCTTTCTTATCCCCTGTCCCAAAGGACATCTGACAACATCTGCTGGCATTTTGGTTTGTTCAGTTGGAAGAAATGCTACTGACCATTAGTGGGGAGAAACCAGAGATGATGCTAAACACCCAACAACATAGATTTATGTGGTTCCAAATGGCAATAATATGTGTGTTTCATGCTACTCTCTTTTAATTCCAGCTATCCATCACCTCAAATCCCGAGTAAAGCTAAATTTATAACCTTTCAAATATATGTTTCCTATTGTCTTCATAACTTTGGCTATAACACCATCCTTCTGTTAACCCAGGCTCAAAACATCAGTCATCTTTGGGTATGAGCAAGAGGGAAGAGTCAAGACTGAGCAACCCTGACCCAAAGAATTAGATCATGGGAACAAAAAAGACACAAAGGAAGCAATAGATACAAAATATATCACTAAATTATAGTGCTTTTTGTTAGAAGCTTGACTCTAACTCTTCCATCTTGCTCATATCCAACGATGACTGATGATAATGAGCCTGGATTAACAGAAGGATGGTGTTATATCCAAAGATATGAAAACAATAGGAAACATACTTTTGAAAGAGGTTATAAAGTTAGCTTTGGTCATTTGGAATCAGAGGTGATGCATAGCTGGAACAAAAAGAGTAGAAACACACATAATCGGGTGATTCTTGCAGAGAGGGGTAGTCATGGAAACAAACTGATGAGGGAAGTTGTTCTTCAAATATTTTGGTTTTACATGCTTTCTGTAAATGAAAGACTAGAGTTCTCTTGGGCATAGGGTCACAGCAGTGCAGTAGTAAGAGCAAGGAAAGGTCTGCCCTGATTAAATGTTGAAGACTGCTTATGATACCCTAGGAGGTATTTTAGTACGTATTCCAAACATGAGGACTCCATTTGCCAGACTCCCAAGTAATAGTCTTTCATGCTGGCCATCCAAGTAAAATGATAGCTGATAAGGAGCCCCAGCAATGAAGATAGCTTGACTCAGCTTATCCTTGAACTGTTGTCATAGTGAGATTTAATCACTGTGGCCCTATTTCTGAATAAAGCAGTGAGGTAGAAATGACCTCTGTATGACCATTAACACTATATTGTAACTCAGAAACCATGTGCATCTAGCACACACAGTATGTAGAACAGGGCTCACCCAATGTGTCTATGTGAGCAGCTGATAAGGTCTGTCCCTTCATTCGGACTTTGTCAGCTAAAAGTGTGTGACTTCAGGACCTTTCTTCCCTTTCCCGTTCCTTGCAGTGCTCAGCAGAAGACACAAATCATACACCAAACAATACAGTGAAAGACATGGCATCAATAACCTAGTGGCTCTAAAGGCAAATACTACCTGTACACTATCTCCACTTTCCACAAGGTGATTTTCAGTGGAAACTACCGTGGCTTTTAGAAGCCCCCTATAGATGAAGAAGCAAACAGATTTACCAGCTCAGTTGAGTGAATGTGTGATTGAGTGAGACTAACAGGTGTTGGTCTGTGACAACCTGGCAGAGGAGAACTCTTTATGTACTCAAATGTCAGCAACAAGTCAAGAAGTGAGACAGAATCCACAGCTGTTCCCAGAAACCCACTCAGCCTAGAACTGCCTACAGCAAGCAGCACATCACAAGCCCTCAGGAAGTTCCGGAAAATAGAAATTATACCAAGGCATAGTGCAGACCAGCCAAAAATAGGATCCCCCAAACTACCCAGGAAATGATTCAACTATCAGGAGCCCTAGTGGTCTGGCTACCTAACACAGCAACCTTGCTGGTTGCTTGAATAGTAACATTATCAGGAAAAGACAAACTCAAAAGTTTTTTAAAGTGTACATATACATTTCTTTCACACCCCTTAAACAGTACAAAGACCTACATTTGAGAAGCAAATCAAGGGAAGTTATTGTTGGGTAGCCTAATTGACTCTTAAGAGGTCACAGATTTCTAAATTATGCCAAGAACTGGGACCTCCCAAGGTACAGAGAGCCTGTGAGACAGAATGACTTTTCTCAAAACAAAGCAAGGTGAACCTCATTAGGAACTAGTAGTGCCAGAGAAAAACACACCATGACTCTGTTTCTGAGTTAAAAGTAAATTGTTTACTCATTGAAAATGAGAAGCTACTTTTATCCCTTTGGGTGATTCAAGTCAATTGGCAAATTAGTTTGTGATTATAGCAACCGATATTCTATTGCTTATTTACAGTAAGTTTTAAATGATAAGAAGTACCAGCTGGCCTCTGAGAGTTAAAGTAGTTCCCAAAACGACTTCCTGTGAAACTTACTAGTAAGTGACTTTGACCTGGATCATTAAATTATAGAGGAGCACCTGTCTAGAAGGGTACACAAGAGCCACTGCACCTGGCTTTTACAATGAGCACTTGAGATTCTGGATGGGAATCTAAGATTCTAAATCCTAAAATCATTGGCAAATACCAACAGAGGTTAAAGCTGGAAGGCACTTTGAATGAAAGCAGCAAAATCCAAAAAGGTAAAGTGGCTCAACTAATATCAGAGGAAGTGTGGGCAATATTTTGCTATATAAAATGCCCCAATCAGTGTTAAGTAACTTGCAGAAGGCAAGGCAGACAAATTCTCAAGATGCTATCTAATATATAGGATTTCCAAGAACAATCAAACACTTTGTTCCCTATCCTGAAAAAGGTACAGATTAAGCAACAGGCAGCCTGACAAAAGTCCATCTGCCCCCTAGAGTGTTCTGAAATGGGAGAAGTATTTGGAGAACCATTGAGAGGAAAACTTTGGCAATAGGCCAGTAAACATTTAAAAGGATCCCAGGACTGTGAATGCAGAACTGTTCTCTCTGCCACCCAACACTACAGCTACAGTAAATAGGATGATTTCACATGGCATAGCTTCCAGAAATCATTGTGTGGATTAAATATATGCCTTAAGTATGTCTTAAAGATGAGTAACATACGTAGGTATGTTCATTTAAATCCAATTAGTTTGGCTACGACAGGAGTTTCCACTCATCAATGCAGTAAGCATTAAGCACTACGTGTACTTAATCCCAAGTGGTTAGTGAATATGAAACGAAACAGTCCTTTATCCTTGAGGAGTATACATTTCTTATTGAAGAAATGACTCATACATGCAATTAATTTCTAGGAAATAAATTCCAAGACATCATGGAATCAGTGCATGGGGTATTTTGTACCACACTGTATACTTAGAACAGAAATGTCTGGGTAGGGAAAGGTGTTTAGTGAGGAGCTTCCTTCTGTTTTTTGAATTTTAGTATTTCATTATGCGTTTCTGTTTTTTATTTTATATATAATTTACATCATGCTTTATTTTTATACAATGTATGCTTTCTCCTATCAGTGTCGTCCCCATGAAATTCCCTACCAGTTCACCCATGTCCCATCACCATAGCCCCTTGTGCTCTTCCCATCCCTGTTTTGACTTTTCTGAACTTCTCTTGAGCTTCCTTCTTATCAGTCGATAAGGTCGTTTTGACCATCAAACTTTTAACATTGAAAAGTAAAGAAAAATGGACTAAGTTTATTTGCAAAAGTTGGTAAACTTCAATTCAGTCCTGAGTGCTCAGAAAACTCTTTCATTATAGTTTCATAATGACAGCACCATACTTGGCCTCAAAATTCACCTGCTTGGAAGAGATGTAATATGACTCAGATAAACAGACCTAGTTTCTTTGTGAGTTTGAATGATAATTTCAGTAGCCAGATTTCTCATGATTTTTGCCTAGATTTTTATACATATGTATAAAACAGTTTTAGGTGTCATAGGGTAATGTTGTTGCAAAATTGAGAGAATAAGGGCAACTGTTCCTAATACTCTCACCATAATTTACCCATTTGGTTCTTACTCTGCCTGGCTGCCTAGTCTTTGCCTTCTGGAAAAAGAATGCACATAAGATCTTTATCTCAGATAAAGTGGGACAGCCTAAAAGAAAACCTACTCAAATCTAGCAGGGTAAAAAGCAAATAACAATAATCAGATGTTAAACAGAAAATAAACTGCATAGGCAAATTCTTAAGAATGTACAAGTCACATGTACAGTAGAAAAGTTACAAAAAAGAAGTACTGCTTCTCTTACCCAGCAAATACAAAAAGCCACTGTTATTAGCAAGCTATAGAAAGCCAGGACTGTTCCAAGCACCACCAGGATCCAGAATGGCTTAGAAAACTCAGAAGGTGGGGATTCTGGACAAAAATGTTTTTCTGAAAAATAGAATAGAGTAGATTAAATGATATGGGAATGGTGCAAGAGTACATCCCTGCCTTCTAAACATTATAGAGAACATGTGAAGAGTAAGATAGGCACAATATCTCTAACTTAGAATTTATAGACTTACTCTTCATTCTACCGTCTTTGGGATTGATCCAATGCCACCACTGATCCTGACTCAGTTTTCAAGACTGCTGTTGAAAACTGTGACTTTAGGGCGCTCCACTGAAAAGTTTTATGTTACCTTTCACATGGATGATGGTTCCATTGCTCTTCTGGTTGCCTATGTAAGGAGGAGGGTACATGACTTCAATTTTGCAGAAGTAAATATCTGTTTGGTTAACATACAAATCCCAGAGGTAGAATGTCACTGTTTCATTGTCCAGTTTCCCACCACAGTTGAATCCAGTATTTGAGTGAAACTGAAGCTGATGGGAATTATTTCCATTCACTACACAGACTTCCACGGAGCTATCCACTCCCTTATATAGGGACGCTCGGAACTCCTTGGAGAATATATTGTGGGTGTATTTGCAGGTAAGGTTGACCTCATTGTCATTCACCACCAGCAAAGGTAACTGCTTCACCAAAATTTGGTTTGCTGAAGGGGAAAGAAAATCATTTGCTTAGAACAAAGGTAGTTTGTTTACTTTAATCTGAAATCAAGATATATTCATTAACAAAATAAAGAGATCTCCAGGAAAGCTTTTCTCTTGGCAGATGAAGACACATGATCTAGCAGGGACAAAATAATAATCATCAGATGTTAAACAGTAAATCACATAGGTATGGGGAAGAGGTAATTCTGCTGAGAGTTTAGAGCTTTACATTTTCATAATATTATCATCCTCCTTTGAATGGGACAGTGGGACATGTTTTCATGTGGAAGGCAGAATGTGACCTGCTGGCATGGAACACCACAGCTTTGTATTTGGAATTTTTGAATCAGTACTGAGATTCCCAGGATGTTTGCTTACTTGCTTAATTTCCTGATTGACTGGTACATTTGAAAGTAGCTTTTATCACCTCACACAGATACAAAATAGATTCGCTTATAAGTTGTAATACAGACTTTTGTGAAGAAGTTAAAATGTTTTGAAACATTCTGATGTCACTAACCATTCCAAGAGTAGGACAGTATATTATTCCCCCCCATAATAAGTGTATGAGGCTGGAAATATTAAATAATTTTCTAAAATCACTGAGCTGATGGTGAGAAAAGCTAGAATTAAAACTCAAGTCAGCTACTTGACTTTTTCTCAGCTACCTGAGAAAGAGGCCACTTAGGCATTGAGAATCAACTTTGCAACCGTGATCCTCCAAAATTTTGCTAAAGCAATACATTGCTTTATGTTTTTAATTCAGATTTCAATATAAAAAAAATTTCTTATTGTTTGTATGCTAATTATCTACCTAATTGAATTATTTTAAAGTTATTTAAAGCAGTATGCTCACATACCTGTGCTGAAGAAGCAAATGAAATCAGACTCTTGAAATGAATGCAATTTAATCTAAATTTGAATTCATGTATTCAGTTGTTTGCTTTTGAAAAATGAACTGCATACTACTAAATCACGTCTAGCTTTTAATCTACTATGCCGTTCTTAAATCTCACTGAAGTTATGAAAAAAAGAAAAACATGCTCAGATTCCTTTCTCAGGAATTCTGATTTTAATTGGTCTTTGGGTAAGAGGTTAGGCATTGTTTCTCTTCATTTTTTCACAACCACTTTGTTGAGACAATTCATGTACCATAAGTCTCACCTATTTTGTTTAGTTCATCCTTTTTCTTTACATTCACCCTCTTAAAATCTATATTTCACTGGACTTTTTGGTGAATTCAGAAAGTTGTACATGGATCACCACTATCTGACTTCAGGATATTTTCAATACCACAAAAGAAATCCCCTATCCTTTAGCAGGCCCTCGCCATTCCTCCCCCCCTCTCTCAAATTCTTGGCAAATCTATTTTCTCTCTCCTTGTATTGTCTATTCTGAACACTTTTACTTTTTGATGACCTGACTTACTTTGTTTCCAAAGCAAACTGCACTATTGTGCATTCCCACCAGCAATGTATGAGGGCTCCAACTTCTCCATGTCCTGGCCAACACTTGTTATGCTCATCTATTTCATTGCAGCCATCCTAGTGAATATGCAGTGGCAACTGTGGTTTGATTTGCATTAATCTGATGACTGATGATGCTGGGCATTTTTTAATGTGCTTATTACTCATTCGTATACCCTTTTAAAGACATGTCTATTTAGATAATTTACCAGCTTAACTTGACAAATGCAGTTCATTTCTCAAAAGCAAACAACTTGTCTTTTTAGTGTTGAGTTATCTCAGTTCTTAACATATTTTTCATACACTTTCCTTATCAGAAAAGTGATTTATAAATAATTTCTTCCATTCTAGGAGGCATCTTTGAGATCATTTTTAAAAAATCTAATATTCTAATATTCAGTCTGAGTTGAAAACCATTGTAGGTGTACAGATTTCTCAAGCAGACAGTATATTAGATTTACCAAGGGAACTTAAAAGAAACCATTGATTCTGAAGACAATTAAATAAGAATCTCTTGGCATATAAACTAGACATTTCTTATTTTTTAAGTTTCTCAGGAGCTCTGATCTATAATCATGTTTGAGTGGATTCATAGATGAAAGCTTTGTCTTATCCTCAATTCATAGGTTTCCATAGACTTTCAAAGCAAAACCTTCCAATTAATTGGACCATATATGTCAACATCCCAGGGTCACACTGCAAGTATTTCTCCTCTGTTTGTGCCCTCATCACTAGCTTATGGTCTAGAGTATCTCTCCCTGTTCAGGTCTCAACATGACTACTGTCTGTGTCACCCATTTGCTACTTGGTCAGATTCTACATCTTGTTTCATGTGCTTCAACTTGATAACTCTTGACTCATCTGACCCAGTTTCCAAATCTCCTGACAAATATTGTACATTACACTTCTTTATGGAATATGGTATGAAAAATAGTAGCTCACTAAATGATAAGAACAAGATGATTATCTGACTATCTCATTCTTAACAGCAGCTAAGTCTGACTACCATCTCATTAAATCCTGTTCAAAATTTGTGTCTCAACAACTTAATGTCACTTAGTATTCATTCACAAATGTTCCCAAAAAGTACTGAAGAATAAACATGTAAAGAATCAAAAAGTTCAACCAGTTTTATTTTTATTTTACTTTATTTTTTGAAAAGATTTATGTATTTATGCATACAGAACTGGAGTACAGGCCAGAGGTGCACGGGTGGTGAGAGGATTCACCAGGGACAGAGTGGGGAGCAGAACAGGCAGACAAAGTACACTGCTGAGGAGAGCCTTGGGCGAGACAGGAGAGGTCTGCTGTGCCATGTGGGTCACCTCCCTGGTAGAGGATTGAATTTGTGCTGCAGTAGCTGCAGATAGTCTTGTAGTGCTGCACTTTAACCCACTGCACCACCAGGGTGGGTCCTCAACCTGTTCTAATAGGAAAAACTAACTCACTTTTTTGTTTTTGTTTTATTTTGTCTGGCCTTTTTCTTAGTTACTTCAGAAAGAATCCTTTAAAAAGAATCACTGGGTGATCCTTTCTGATGAAAGGAACTAATCCAGCAAGAAATGCCAGCCTGTTCCCTCATATTCTGAGAGTGCAGATTAGGCCTTTGTATTTCTGCTTACTGAGCCTTCCTTAAATCACATTTCTGGTAACAGTTACTCAGATTCTATCTTAATGGGCATTCACATGCTTCCTGATCTGTGTTTGAAACTAATGTAAGAAAAAAGATGGGAGTAGCACTTCTTTGTGAGGGTTAAAAGGGGAAGATGGCTGGAGGTAAACTGATGACAGCTAGAGAGAAAGTCTGGATTTGGCCTCATTCTCCAAACACAATGTGGAAAGAAGGAGGGAGAAGGGACAAAGAAAGAGAAGTTCTAGCATCTTGATCCCAGTAGTTTCCTTAATGTGGTTTATCTAACTCAGGTATGGCACCCTCCATACCCTTGATGCATGTGGAAGGAACAAATTGATTTCCCAAAGATAAAAGGGCTCAGTCTCTGGCCTAGGGCAGCTCATTCGAGTGGGGAAAAGACACAAACTATTTTAAAAACAGTGCACAGTGACCAGAAGTGAGAGTTCCTAAAGACAAGTGGGAAGCCAGCTAAAGATGTTGGAGGAGGTGACTGACCCGTGCTATGAAGGATTGTATACACGTTCAGCAAGTTTTTACTAAATGAAGGTGAGCCTACCTTCGAAGAGCCTGTGTGTTAGGGAAGGGTGAGGTGAGAAACCAGGGGCAAGGTAAGGGATTGTGGGAAAGATAAGACAGAGAAAAAGATTAGTCTAGTCAGAGGAGATAAAGAGGTGAAAGTGTGACAGATGTAGAGAATTACGGAAACTTCAGTGTTTTCTGGACCATGTACTGTGAAAGACAGGATTAGTAGAGCGAGCAAAGTATATAGGATGTGCTCTTTCCTGCAGGTGATGAGGACCTATTGAGGTATTTTAAACAAAAAGTGAAAATGCACAACTTATCATTTTATGTCATTTTAGCCAAAATGTAGAAGATAAATTGGAGGAAATAATTTTAAAAATGTGGAGATTGGTTAGGATATAGTTGTAATGGTCTAGGCCAGAGGTGATGAGGGCCAGGACTCTGGTTAGAAAGATATGGATAACTCAGTGTAGCTTTTCAAGCTAAATTGGCATAACTTAGCATTGACTTAGTCTCAGAAACCAACAGAAACCAACTAGTAAGTAACACTGTTTTCTTTTTGCCTTTGTCACTCCTTCATTCATTACGTGACAAAAATGGACAGCTCAGAAACTGAAATGAGGTTTGGACATCTGGGATAGGAAGAAAACAGTTTTCCAATCTAAACAGCCCCTGTGAAGAAAATACAAATTACCCCAAAGGGGTCGGAAACACCACTAACTTCCTGGAGTTCAGTTCAGTGTTGGCCATTTTTTCAGAAGTGGGTAGCAGTGGTCTTTTCTCCTGAAACTGTTTTTTGTTTTTGTTTTAGTTTTGCAAAGCATACTATAGTGAGGTAATGAAAGATATTTTCCTTCTGTCTTGGGGCCTCCATATTCAAAACTAAGCTTTATTAAAACATCACATTTCTCCTACGCTCATTCTGCCTCACCACTACAAACTAAGAAACTTCTCAGGAAAGAGAAATCCAAGATCCTGTTATCTAGCTCGACTGTTAACATACTCAAGTAGACTCCTGTTTTATGGCCAGTTGGGTCTTATATAACGTACGGTCCGGAAAAATAAGGTTTCTTTAACCCCTACATCAGCCATACTTTCTCACCTCTCTATCTCCTCTGCCTCAGCTCTTCCTTTTCTCTCTCTGCCTTATCTTCCCCCAAAATCTTCTACCTTACCCCAAGCCTCCCACGTCACCCCTCCCTAACACAAAGATTCTTCTTACATAGGCTCACATAGTAAAAACTTGTTGAGCCAACATGTATGCAGGCATCAAGCCTCAGGTCAGCAGCTGCCTCCTCCATAATTTCTGTTTGATGCCTCTTTGCTTTCAGGTTCATGCTAGGAGAGAAAAGCATCCTTCCTAAGCCAATTCGGTCTTAGT